GGCCCTAGTTCACCGTCTAGTCGGATTTGGACTGTGCGCCCTGTGACAAAGGAGGCTACCCAGCGGACTAGATTATCGGGCCAACCCTGTGTACGTAATCTGAGTACCAGTCTGCCGGGAAGGACGCCATCGAATGCCCCTTTGATGTCGAAAGTTAAAAGGGAAGCTGTTTTGCCCTGGTTTAGGGCTTGCTCTACATCATGCAGCAGGCAGGTGGTAAGGTCAACCGCAGAGCGAAGAGGTAGAGCCCCAAACTGTTGGCTAGCTAGGACTTTATAGGAGATAGCAATCCATGCCATATTTCTTGATATCAGGCGTTCAAGGCCTTTGCCTAGGACTGAGAGGAGGGCAATTGGTCTGTAAGATCTAGGGTTTGCCCAGTCTGTCTTATTTGGCTTTTGGATGATAGCCAGAATAGCGTGACGGAAACATTGACGCAAACATGCTTAGTTGGGGATTCGTCAGGTCCAACCGAGCTTTGTCGTACCACGAAGTCATGTGACGTCTAAATTTGGTTAGATCATTCGCGGTTAGGTTTACGTAAGGGTCGTGGTGACCTGCGTCCTGTCGTGTCACTTAGCCCCCAAGCTAGCAGGTTCCGCAGTCTCAGCTTGATCAAGTAAGTCTACCTTTACGAGTCCGATATCGCGCTTAGCTGGTAACTCATTGTAACTAGCTGATGTGGTTCCATAGAACCAGGAAGGATGCATTTATTTCCACGGTATCTGGATGCGATATTGACACCTCTTCAAAGGCTTTTGAGATTTTTGAGTTTCTAGATGTTTTGGAGAGGCAAGACAATTTTTGTTGGAGATCTCTGCCATTTTGCCGCATATCTCTGGTATCTGGCTGCGTACGCTAATCCATATGTAGCTAGTCATCACCTGATCTCCGCCGTTTGCTGGTGTGGCCCACTCGGTGGTGAAATACGTTATATCAGACCGGACCGATCATGCAACTGATCAATATGAACCGAGCCGTATGATTTATGACGATATAGATCATGCAATTCCGCTCATTTTATGATGATCCTGAAGCCTCTGAGATTGCATAATTATTGGCTTCTTTATCGTTTAGTTAGAGGAATTAAGACCTTCATTCATTTGAGTATGATCATATAAAATCGGTTGAATAATCACTTCTTCGGTAGACCCATAATCTAGGACATAGGCGATTGCAATGTCCTAATCGAGTTCCTAATTAATTTTTAGACAGAAATGCAATTGCTCAATTGATAAAGACTCTAGTATTTAGCACATGGGCAGGAATTGGCGGGAGGTGCGGCGCTCGGTGGTGGTGCGGCGCTCGGTAGTGAAATACGTTATAGATTCTCCATATTACTCAATCGTTATCAAGTATAGACTTTAACACGTCAAAATTACGTCTACATTTAGGCATTTACCTATAAGCTGTAACCCCCTTTTATAGCTGAAAAACTAGTAAATCTTTCATTAAGAGCAGTTCTGCTTTATCCAAACTCCAATCGTACAATATTCTTTTGAATATACTGATTCATTAATTAATCCAGAACTTCTCCGATCAGATAACTTCTCAGAGGCACCTGGTAGCCAATTTACTACACGATTAACTCCAGGTTTTGAGTCTTTTTCCTTACCTCTACCCCTTCCTGTACCTCCATGCCTAGAACGCGTTGGCAAGCCCTTTCAATTATATTATATTCTCTATCCACCCGATAAAGACAACCCAGAAATGCTCAAATCTCGGCAAGAATTTGTTAATTGGTAGCTTACAACTAAGTACAGCCAGAAGAAGGATATATCAATTATTTAAGATAGTAAAACAAAAAAAGCCTCTGCGTAGAAATCGTTTGACCAGGTTGCACATGCGAAGACTGGCGAGCCTAAGGTTATGTGCAAATACTGTAAAGGAATAATTATACACTCTAAGCATTGACGTACTGGACCTTCTCCAATAGTAAATCATCTGAAAGGTAATAAGTGTACTACTACACGTTTTCAAAAATAGGGCATTGATTTCAATCCTTATATCTGGCAGCAGAAATTGTTGAGATTGATTACGACTGCAAGCTTTCCTTTTCGCACAATTGAGTACCCTGAATTCAAAGACTTCCTTGATTAAATTAAGCTTGCTGATCGTGACTCTTCTCTCTCATATTCTTCTGTACGCACTATGAGACGTCTATTAGATAACAAAGTTAAAAGCCAACAGCAAAGTGTACTTAGCTAACTTCCTACTGGTAGCTGTCTTTTAGTTGCACTTAACTGCTGGACATCACCATTCTTCCAGGTATTTATAACAATTACAGGGTATTTTATTGACAAAGATTGGAATTATCGTGAGATCCTTCTTGGATTTAAACATATCCAAGGATCTCATACGGGCATTTACCTTAGTGAGACAGTTATGCAAATCTTTAAAGAATATAGCATTGTAGATAAAGTGCAGTTAATCACTACAGATAATACATCGAACAATAACACAATGATCTATGGTGTTCAAGAGATAGCTCAATCTCTTACTCTCATTGTTATATCAATCTTTTGCGTTCTATGCATTGTACATATTATGTAATTAAACCTTAGGGATTTACTCTGCACTATCAAAGTGAATCCTAAGAATTCAGAGACTGAGTTAGAGTGGTCAGAGTCACGTACAAAGTCTCTACAGTCCCCTCTTGGACAATCATCAAATGATATTACCCTTATACTGAAAAGGGTAAGTTATGCTCTCTTTAATTAATCATTAAATACTATAGCTTATAAAATCTAGATCCGAGAGCTTGCAGTATTTATCAATGCAAGTTCACAACGTCGAGAGGCTTTTACAGCTCTCCAAGATCGCAAACTAAAGCTTCTCTTGATCCAGGACGTACGCACACGTTGGAATTCTACATTTCTAATGTTGAATTGAGCGCGAGAACTACGTAATGATATTCATCGATATTGTGAAGCTCACTAACACATTCAGTTCTTACTTAGTATAGATGAATGGCGGCAGGTTGAGTATCTTCTCATGATCACAAAGCCCTTCTTTGATTTGACCAATATCTTATCAAAGACTCGCGATGTCACTATTCATTCGGTATTCAGCATCTACAACCAGCTTTTTAGCTATTTTAAAAAGATTGAACACTTACTCAAACGGAAGACTGTTCCTTGGAAGCAAAAGATGCTTAAAGCGCTTCATATAGCACAAAAGAAGCTTTCGAAGTACTATACAGCAACTGACAATGATCCTTCTAGTTCAATTTATGCAATTGCTACAACCCTATGCCCTTCAAAGAAGCTTCGATACTTTGATAATGATGATTGGAAAGGGGCTGATGAGAATGGCAATAAAGTCCACTGGATGAAGAAGTATCGTGATATTCTACAACATGAATTCGATCGATATCAGGAGCGCATCCAGCAGTTCCCTGGCTTCAGGAGGCCACAACTAAATGAGGTTGATCCAATTAGTGATAACGAGGAAGAAGGCTGCAGCCATCAAGAGATGTTTGATAATTTAGATCAAGTCCAATAGGAGGAGTTTTCATCTAGACAGAAATGACCTTATACCGCTATTGAGCCTGAGGATGATGATAATGAGATAGATCTTTCTTTATCTCATATACAGATATCAACTGAGAGGCATATACAAGGGCGATCAGGGAGAATTCGGAAGCAACCAAAGCTTCCAGCAGGTCTTGAGCTTGATAAATTGTAGTTTACCTTGATTCTTGTTATATTTCAATAGGAATACGATCTTAAAGAAACATAATTATATAGATTATATGTAAGAGTAGCCTGTATATAATATTTACAATATTGAAATCAAACACCAAGATGACCTTGTTCTTTATTCCTGGATATTATAAGGCGGAAACGCCAAAAATACTACCAAAAATGCATAACTCAGGCCTTCCAAATTAGGTGCCAGATCTTGGCATATTTGTCATATTTATTATCAGACAGATATCGTACGATATCGTACTTGCTGATAATTCTTTTTGCTATCAATCGGACTGCCGATATCCGATAGTGCCGCAGTCTATGTGGAATTGAGTCTGTCTGCTTTAGATATGAAGTCTGGATAATAGCATAGATAGGTCTATAGACTTCTATAAGCCACGGCAGTTATAACATACTTTGTCTATGTCAATGGCCAATGTGGAAGAGCTCTTATAGGTTCGTGTGGCGTGTCAGCATACCCCAAATATTATAGCTTCGGAACAAAAGGAACAAACTACAGTGGCTGGAATCTATGAATAAAATAATCTAAACATCAGCTAGCTTACATTAATACTAGTGTCGGTTGACTTGGTCATTGCCCTAAGCAGATATCCTATCGATTCAACGGAATGTGGGTATATGCTCGGTAGGTAAAGGTGAAGTGTCATTTCTAAACTACAATCTGCCTAGCCATTTATAACTCCACTTGCTTACACCTATGCATTCCTGATCCATTGGTATGTCATTTGGAATGGTAGGCCAAGTCTAGGCCAAGCAAGGTGCTGTGCGGTATGTGGATTAGGTCAGGATACTCCACCTCTCTAGTCTGGTTGACAATATTGTTCCAACAACTAGATACCATTTATTGCTTTGCTGTCAATCAGGCAGCCGTATTAGCAACTTGAATATAAAAGCAATGGGATCCGGTGTCCTGCGCGTGAATACCGAGTACCCATGCCATGCTCAAAATAAACCCGGGTTTAAACTAGATATAATTACTAGATAAATTTACGAATTGTCTTTGTGGCAAGTACAATCATACGAATGGGAAATGGGATTAGTTGTGCACATATTGTAAGTGTTACTGTTATACACAGGTGGATAGTGACTTACTACCTAGATAGGTATTGCTGGGCGACGTGTGAAGGGATGGTTTAGTTAGTTTGTAGGGGTAGGAAAGGATAGGAGTAGTGATTCTGATTCTATGAATTCAAAAATTTGCTATCTAATACTTCTAAAACACATAATAATAAACCGTTTATTCTTCAACAGCTTCGGAAGACTACATCTGTTGCATTTGGGCCGAACATGAAACAAGCCCTAGTCTCATACGGTCTGGCTATCGTCAACTTGCAGCGCCTGATGCGTGTGAAGGAGCTATTCGCAAAAGCTGATCAAAGCAGGCATGACCAAGAACGTCGTTATTCATCTCATGCTTTTTGGGACTATATGGAGTACCCAGACTGGATTCTGCTTGAAATTGACGCAAACATGCAGATACGCCAGGAGCAAGTTTCTGTAGCACTGGGGATGGCCGGTCCTACCTCAGGATCAAATTCTGTCCCTGCAGGTGAACATGGGCCAAAGCAAATTTCAGTTATCATGCTGATAGTCGCATGCGCATTGACTAATTGTGGAAACCTTGTTAGGCTTCTAGTACCAAAAGCACTTACAACTCAGACCGCGCAGGTTCTTCGCGACCGGCTAGGAGGCCTGGTCGGCAAGGAGCTCATACACATTCCATTCTCACGGCGCACTCCCACGACCAGACTTCCGCAAAACCCAACTTGGGTCGAAGGTCTTGACCCAAAACCCAACCCGGACCCAACCCGGACCCAATGCTGGTGTTGAATATCCTGGTCACTGGGAGCACGTGCATGCATACATATTTACCTGGCTACCAGCCTCTCTGTATCTAACACAACACAATCAACTCTCATCAATAATACCAACATCGAAGCATCACTTATTAAACAACAACCATCAACTCCCATCAATAATATGAACACCGAAGCATCACTTATCAAACAACAGGTAGCATCTTGGACCCAAATATCTGTCAAGAACGGGTTTGGGTACTTGGTATTGAGCTACCCGCGGGTCCTGGCGAGGTTTAGATCTGCCTAGTAACCTTGAAATAATTCACGTGGTCTATTTCGTTGGGAGAGTCTAGAGATAACTAGTTAGTTAAATACCGCATGCTTATAAATATAATTTGGGGGCCATCCCGGGGCTGGGAACATTCTATATAAATTATCAACAACGCATCAAGCTACCAGAGATATACGTGACCTTACAACAATTCAGGAAAATCACCAGCAATCATGAAGGAGGCCTTTGTGGACAATGATATCTCACTGACAATCCGAGACACCGATATTCCCGTCCCTAAAGCTGGCCAGGTCCTTATTCACGTGGTCGTTTCTGGCACCAATCCTAAAGACTGGAATCCCTGGTGGCCAATAGACGGGACACCCACCAATCAAGGAGATGATATCGCCGGATACATCGAGGCAGTGGGGGAGGGCGTGATGGGATTCCACAAGGGCGACAAGGTCGCTGCGTTCCATCAAGTGATGACACCTCATGGTAGCTACGCCGAGTATGCGATCGCGCCCGAGTACACGACCTAGTTGGAGCCTTTGTGATCAAATTTGCCCGGCTTTCCAATATCCACCCGCTTATCACGGTAGCTGGCAAAGGCAGCGCCTTTGTCGAAACTCTTATCGATCGTGAGAAGGGTGACACGATAATCGACTATCGTGAAGGTGACGAGGTCGTTCGGGCAAAGATCAAGGAAGCGGCCGGTGGGCGATCTATACACTACGCATACGATGCGGTGGGCGAACATGGAAGTCATCATAAAATGGGGAGATCACTACCATGCTGTCTAACGGTGACCGCCAGCCCTACGAGGGAATTATCATGGGCCAAACTATAGCGGGATCGGTTCACATGCCTCCCGCAGCAGGCAAAACAGTCGAGGATAACGAGTTTAGTGCTGCTATCTTCCAATTCATTGGCCGTGGTTTGGCGCAGGGCTGGTTCTCGGGACACCAGTATGAAGTGCGCCCGGGTGGGTTGACTGGACTTGAAGGGGCGTTGCAGGATCTTAAAGCGGGCAAGGCGTCTGCTATTAAGTACGTGGTGCGTATTGGCGAAACGGAAGGAGTGATATAGATTTCAGCTTTGACGCGGGTTATCGCTGTTCTCCGGGTGTGGCGCTGAGAAGGACGGATGTCAGGGTGTAGATGGGTACTAAGATAGGAGAGTGTATAGGAGGTTCTTGTACGGAATAATATACGGTGTTATACGTCATGCAGTTGGTCTGGAATTTAATCTTAAAAAATTATTATTTATGTATTTATCTTCATGAGGACTAGCATGGTAACGGGTAGGGGCCGGGAAACAAAGAGTGAGTCTCTAGGGGGCAAACTGTTTTTGATGTTGGTATTGATGATGAGAGTTGATTGTGTTGTGTTAGATACAGAGACTCAAGCCAAGGGTATTGTTTTTTCTGTTTGTACTGTTTACCTTGTTTGCCAACCATCTCCTACTCAGTCCGCCCACTTTCCCTTCCTTCCCTTCCTTCCCTTCCTTCCTTTTCTAAGCTTGAAATTTTAGTCTTTTAGTACCAAATGAATCAGTTTTAATCATCTTGATTGGCTTTCACACCGCAAATGAAGTGGTGCTTCTCACCGTGGGTTTTTTATTTTCAGTGAGCCTCCCCTGGCACTCGGCAGAGTCTATGTACCAACGAATGAAATTTTTGATGCAAACAATAACTGGAGCAGGGATGCCAATCGGGGGGACATAACCAGATGTTTCATAATTCTCTTTGACAAGATACCTGATGAACGTAGTTAGCAGGAGCCCAGTTTCCAGTTTGCTCGGGACCCCTTACTCCGTGTATAGGGTGATACATTGGTGCTGTAGGTCCTTAGTTTCATCCAGGCGGTTATTTTTATCCCTGATAACGTCTTCTTCCTGGTGGGCTCTTGAGATATACTGTAAGGCACAAAACCGTCAAGGTAGGTATGTATTAACGAAGAATAAGCTGCATAGAAGGCAGCGAATTCTGCGGGAGACTAGCTACTACTCATACTACTTTGCGGATCAGTGACGGAGTCACGTATCTGCAGATACCGAGAGGTTCCTGACATATACCCACAAGCAAGACGCCGCTCACGACGCTTCTTCCGGGCATCTTCACGGCACCCAAAGGATCTTTTGCCCATAGTCAGCGAAGAGATCAAAACATGAAGAATAAGAGAGCAGGTATCTGGATATGCGTGAGGCAAGTTGAGAAGAGGAAAGGAACGAGATATTGGCTGCTTGATCAGCTCGCAAACGGGATAGAGACATCCTTTTTATACCTTTTCCGGAGCTATTGTGATAAATAATGACTTGCGTTTGGTGAATTTTGCCACTTCAGGGCTTTCCAACACCCCATCACAATTCTGGTTGCGTCTTATACAACGAGAATTTTGGCGGTGGGTATTGTAGAGACGGTCAATTTGGTATCGTTGTCAGGCTAACGATAACTAACGTATCCGGTAAGCGGGCGCCGCACGCAAGCGAGCGCCGCAGCTCCGTATCCCATACTAATTCACCGTTTTTTA